GGCCGTCTGATGTTTGCCAATGAACATCTGAATGATTCAGAGGAGAACTGGGTGAAAGTGTTGTGGTCAGATGAGACCAAAATCAAGCTCTTTGGCATCAACTCAACTCGCCGTGTTTGGAGGAGGAGGAATTCTGCCTATGTCCCCAAGAACACCATCCCCACCGTCAAACATGGAGGTGGAAACATTATGCTTTGGGGGTGTTTTTCTGCTAAGGGGACAGGACAACGTCACCACATCAAAGGGATGATGGACGGGGCCATGTACCGTCAAATCTTGGGTGAGAACCTCCTTCCCTCAGCCAGGGCATTGAAAATGGGTCGTGGATGGGTATTCCAGCATGACAATGACCCAAAACACACGGCCAAGGCAACAAAGGAGTGGCTCAAGAAGAAGCACATTAAGGTCCAGGAGTGGCCTAGCCAGTCTCCAGACTTTAATCCCATAGAAAATCTGTGGAGGGAGCTGAATGTTTGAGTTGCCAAACGTCAGCCTCGAAACCTTAATGACTTGGAGAAGATCCGCAAAGAGGAGTGGGATAAAATCCCTCCTGAGATGTGTGCAAACCTGGTGGCCAACTACAAGAAACATCTGACCTCTGTGATTGCCAACAAGGGTTTTGACACTAAGTACTAAGTCATGTTTGGATTTTTTTGTTGTTATTCTATCTCTCACTGTTCAAATAAACCTACCATTAAAATTATAGACTGATCATGTCTTTGTCAGTGGGAAAACGTACAAAATCAGCAGGGGATCAAATACTTTTTTCCCTCACTGTACATACTGAGATGATGTTTTAAAGCTGTTGATATTGTTAAACCACCTAATATTAAATAACGTGTTCTCTCTCAACCTGCACCTCCTCTCTTTCGCTCACTCACTTTCAGACATGTTTCAGGGTTGTTGTTCATACTTATGTTAATTGATATAGAAACAATCCCTAATAATATTAATATATGTTTTATTGTATAACTGTAACATTCTGATAATAACTGTATTATGTTCAAAGCACTACACTATGTAATCAATTAACAGATATTGATGATTTTGTCATTTATAACATATTTTTGTAATTATTGAGTCTGTGAACAGAGAAAGGTTCATTGTGTGATTATATAATAGAAGGTAGATTGGGATTCATCCTACTCAATAGTTTAAATATTTCAAGATTTAAAATAAATATTCATTTTAAATTGTTTTAATAACTTCAAATATTAACAAATTGTTTTATTTATGGGGGAATAAAGTAAAATTAACTTAATGTCAATAAAAAGTTGTATTTTAAAAGTCATGTTTGTATGATGATAAGTAGATGAATCGTAAAATTACACTACCAGTCAAAAGTTTTAGAACACCTACTCATTCAAGGGTTTTTCTTTATTTGTACTATTCTCTTCAGAATAATAGTGAAGACATCAAAACTAGGAAATAACACACATGGAATCATGTAGTAACCAAAAAAGTGTTAAACAAACCAAAACATATGTTATATTTGAGATTCTTAAAATACCCACGCTTTGCCTTGATGACAGATTTGCACACTCTTGGCATTCTCTCAACCATCTTCATGAGGTAGTCACCTGGAATGCATTTCAATTAACAAGTGTGTCTTATTAAAAGTTAATTTGTGCAATTTCTTTCCTTCTTAATGCGTTTGAGCCAGTCAGTTGTGTTGTGACAAGGTAGGGGGGGTATACAGAAGATAGCCCTATTTGGTAAAAGACCAAGTCCATATTATGGCAAGAACAGCTCAAATAAGCAAAAAGAAACGACAGTCCATCATTACATTAAGACATGAAGGTCAGTCAATCCGGAAAATGTCAAGAACTTTGTGCAGTCGCAAAAACCATCAAGTTACCTCTGCTGCAGAGGATAAGTTCATTAGAGTTACCAGCCTCAGAAATTGCAGCCCAAATAAATGCTTCACAGGGTTCAAGTAACAGACAAATCTCAACATCAACTGTTCAGAGGAGACTGTGTGAATCAGGCCTTCATGGTCGAATTGCTGCAAAGAAACCACTACTAAAGGATACCAACAAGAAGAGGAGACTTGCTTGGGCCAAGAAACACGAGCAATGGACATTAGACCGGTGGAGATTTTTGGTTCCAACCGCTGTGTCTTTGTGAGACACGGTGTGGGTGAACGAATGATCTCTGAATGCGTATTTCCCACTGTAAAGGATGGAGGAGGAGGTGTTATGGTGTGGGGGTGCATTTCTGGTGACACTGTCTGTGGTTTATTTAGAATTCAAGGCACACTTAACCATTAAGGCTACCACAGCATTCTACAGCGATACGCCATCCCATCTGGTTTGGGCTTAGTGGGACTATCATTTGTTTTTCAACAGGACAATGACCCAACACACCTCCAGGCTGTGTAAGGGCTATTTTACCAAGAAGGAGAGTGGTGGAGTGCTGCATCAGATGACTTGGCCTCCACAATCCCCCGACCTCAACCAAATTGAGATTGTTTGGGATGAGTCGGACCGCAGAGTGAAGGAAAAGCAGCCAACAAGTGCTCAGCATATGTGGAAACTCCTTCAAGCATTCCATCTGGTTGAGAGAATGCCAAGAGTGTGCAAAGCTGTCATCAAGTTAAAGGGTGGCTATTTGAAGAATCGAAAATCGAAAATATATTTTGATTTGTTTAACACTTTTATGGTTACTACATGATTCCATATGTGTTATTTCATAATAAAAATAAAGAAAAACCCTTGAATGAGTAGGTGTGTGTTCTAAAACTTTTGACCGGTAGGGTATGTTACATGCATTTTTCTACATTAAAATAATGCTGAGATTTTGTACTGAAATCAGATGTGCATACATTCTTTCAATTTGACAAATCTGAGACAAATAAACAAACAATAGAATAATTAACTTGTTAAATGATGGAAATTCATCTTTTAACATACATGCATGTAACTACAGTAGCCCTTAAAGCAATGTAACTTCATTATACAGTGGGGATAATTATTATATTATATTACATAAAACTTGTTTTCCACCATAATTTGCAAATAAATTCATAAAAAATCCTACAATGTGATTTTCTGGATTTTTTTCCTCATTTTGTCTGTCATAGTTGACGTGTACCTATGATGAAAATTACAGGCCTCTCTCATCTTCTAAAGTGGGAGAACTTGCACAATTGGTGGCTGACTAAATACTTTTTTTCCCCACTGTATAAGATGCACTCTAAAAAGAAAAGGTTCCTGTAGGATCCTGAAGGGGTTCTTCAAAATGAAACTGTGGGGGAAACCCTATAAGTACTTTGAAGAACCCTACAAAATACTTTCCCAATGTACAGTATGTATGAATCTGTTTCAGAGGCTTGTTGTCATGGTAATCTAAACATAATCACAACTCTAACGGACCATTCACAATAACATTATGTACATTCTGCACTGATTGTTGGATCCCTTTCAGCCTATCATTGGGCTAGTCTTTCAAAGACTAAATCAATGACATACAAGATAAAACTAAAGCAAACCGAAGACAATACACAATATAAAATATACAATATCAAAGATCAAGCAAAGAGAAATGACTTTTATTTTATATTTAAAGAGTTGCACTAAGTATGTTCACACTGAACACTGTATTCACTCAATTCTGATCAAGAACTTTATACAAATATTGTGATCAAATAGTATGATCATATTTTCTAACGTTAACCTCTTCGGGATCGGTGTACCGTATACGGGATGGTTGAGCTAACGTACGCTAATGTGATTAGCATGACTGTTGTAAGTAACAGCAAACATTCCAGGACATAGACGTCTTATATGGGCAGAAAGCTTAAATTATTTTTAATCTAACTGCACTGTCCAATTTACAGTAGCTATTACAGTGAAAAAATACCATGCTATTGTTTGAGGAGAGTGCACAACAACAAAAACTTATCACGGCAACTGGTTTGATACATTCACCTCTGAAGGTAAATAATGTACTTACATTCAATAATCTTGCTCTGATTTGTCATCCTAAGGGTCCCAGAGATAAAATGTAGCGTAGTTTTGTTTGATAAAATCAATTTTTATATTCAAATGTAGGAACTGGGTTCTACAGTTTGAACCCTTGCTGTCTCTGGCTCCACACCCACCCCGCCCGGCCATCTAGATGTGTGAAAGTTAGTGTATAAGCTAATGATCCATCATGTATGACATTCCTGGGAGTGTGTAAACTTACATTTTGTATTACCATATCATTTTTGTATGTTCTCTATAGTTATGTACTTGAAAATGTATCAATTGACCAATTCGGCACATTTGGGCAGACTTGATACAAAATAGTCCAGTATTGCAATGCTTCACTGGATCAATCTTAAACTTTGCACACACACTGCTGCCATCTAGTAGCCAAAATCTAAATTGCGCCTAAACTGCAATATTATATTGTGGCCTTTCTCTTGCATTTCAAAGATGGAACAAAAAATATATAGAAAAAGCATGTATTTTTATTTGTATTATCTTTTACCAGATCTAATGTGTTATATTCTCCTACATTAATTTCACATTTCCACAAACTTCAAAGTGTTTCCTTTCAAATGTTATCAAATGGTATATCCTTGCTTCAGGTCCTGAGCTACAGGCAGTTAGATATGGGTATGTCATTTTAGGCAAAAATTGGAAAAAAGTGTCAGATTCTTAAGAGGTTAACATGAAAGACTATACTATACTAATCAGCTGAATACCAAAACAAGTGGTGGGCCCCTTTCTGTTGTTTTTCAAATCACAAATTGATTTGGATGTGCAAGATTTGCAATTTATTAAAAAAGTTATTGATTGAATTGACTGGATCCTGGCTTTGTATTGCTGTGTTGTCACATTCATGCTTGGTGAGTTATAAAAAAAATAAATAAAAAAAGTTTTGCCATTTAGCAGACGCTTTTATCCAAAGCGACTTACAGTTTTACGTTCATTTCTGGTTGCCATGTCTGAAATCTTTGATTGGCCAATTTTATGTTTTGGTCAAGAAGAGTCATGCTATCGTTTTCCACTTTATTTCATGTTGAATGCGTTTTTCAAGCTCTTCAATGCGTCATCACTTTTTAATGCCTTCCAGTCCTCTGGGATATCAGCAGGGAGTGCATTTGTGTCTCTAGCAATTATCTCATTGAATGTGGCCATCACATACTTCCAGTAGTCTGAAGCCTTGATGCTGGGATCTCCAGTTATGGTCCAGTGAGGGTAATATGTCTGGTAGTCCTTGAAGGGGTGATATTTGTCTCCTGTCAGGGTGGTCTTGAATCTGAGGTCACTAATCACAGAGGATGAACATATGCCAGTTACTAACACCCTTGTCGTTGAATTCCTCCAACCACTGACTCCTTGTGGACGGTGAATGGAGGAAAAGTGTTTGGCATGCTCCTTCCCCCCTGCTTCACAGGGTGCACTGCAGAAGGGACATTGCTCCCCACAGCCAAACTGACTGGTGAACATAATGTCCTGGGGCTTGAATGGCAGAGATCTGAGTCTCTTTCTGATGTCAGTCCTCTGGTCATACTCTGATGCCACTGACTTCTCCATTTCTCTAACAAACTCTGTGAGGTAGTCAGCAAACTGTTCTGTGTTTGCATTGTTCAGAATCATAATGGAATCCAGAGCATCCTTTGGAAAGACAAGCTTCTCTCCAAGGGCACTGCAGATGTTCTGAATGAAAGTCTTGATATCTTTTATAGTGCTATGTGTTTTTCTGATGTTAGAAACTGCATCAGTGATCATCTTGACTATCTCTGAAAGATGTTTATTCTCCAATTTTTTCAGACTGCTCTCATCTGAGAGTTGTTGGACAATCTGATCAAACAGCCAGTCCTTCACAAACCTGTCATAATCCTTTATGTACCTTTTATATTTCTCATATTCTCCATCTGTCAGGAGTTGTTTCAAAATGGAGAACTGGAAGGCGATCCGTGTGCTGTAATCCTGTGATCCTTTACCTTTCTTCACTTCATCAACTACATCAGGACCAATCCTTTTGGTCACATAGTCCTGTACAGCTGGCTGTAAGAGCTTTAAGAACTCCTCAGCTTTCTTTAGGCACTGGTCTTGGTTACGAAATAAGTCTTTGAAATCAGTAAGGTACTTGCTCTTAGACTGTTCCAGACACTTCCTTGGATCATTGACTGCAATGAAATCATCATGCATATTCTGGAACTCTGTGGCTGCTATGCCACAGATGTGTAGCTTCAGAGAAATCTCACACTCCTCACTAACTTCACGATTCTTGTCTTGTTTGAATCTTTCATCACACCTGTTCAGCAGTTCTTTGATGTAGGTGTCATGGTAATCTGTTTTACTTTTCACCTTCTGGCTTATAAACTCCTGACACTGTGTTATGATGTTGTTACAGAAGACTTGTAGTTTTTTCCTGTAATGGTCAGTATCCAAGTGCTTTGCAAAGCCTTTAGCCTTCTGCAACCCCTTAACTGATTTCACGACAAAGTCTGTCTTCCCACAATCCACCAAACTGCTTCCAACCAACATTTTATTTACATGACTGCCCCTTCTTGATAAATTATCACGTAACATGACGAAGGCATCCTGAGCGACATCTCTCTTTGGCAGTCCGCTAAAGTTGATCTCAGATAGAGTTTCCTCCCACATACTTTCAAACTCTTCTATGAGGTCCTGTTCTGATAAATCAGATTTTCTCTGTCTACAGGTCTGCAGCAAAGCCAGTACCTTCTTCTCCATTGTATTTGCCTGTGAACTCTTGATGTCATCCAGTTTGGCCATTCCCTCTTTGATTTCAACAGCTCCACGTACAGTGTTACTCACTGTGTTTTGTGTCTCTCGTCTCAGTGTTTTTGCACTGGACACAAAGTCCTCCCTGTATTTTTCCACCAGATTGACATGGCCATCTTTCCTTTCAAAGTATTTTACTATATTGTCTTGGATTTCCCTTTCTCCAACTGACAGCTTCTCAGATGCGTCACCCAGCAATTCCTTCAGCACATTTCTTATGGTCATTTGGGGATTTGGATCGGTTATGCCAAAATTTGATATTTTGGTTTCAGAACTTACAATCCAGGAATACATCTCCTTCTGGAAGGCCCATTCCCAACCATTGTACTCAGTGCATAATCTGGAGTATGCATCTGCAACCAAGCTGTTTCTGAAACTGAAGATGAACTTCTCAAATTTCACTGCCTCCCACAAGCTTTGTGTCCACTTCAGGAAATGTGTCATGTCATCATTACTCTGACATTGTCTGAAATCTTGCATCAACCTATTCTTGAAGTCATACACAGCGTCACTGTATCCAGCATTGACTGGAGCCATAGGTGGAGTCCCATGCCAGAGTCCTGGGATGTAGCAGCTGCTTGTGTCTGGATCATACTCCATCACGTCAGTGAACTTGGTGATATTCTCCTTCATCTCCATTCTGGCTGCTGCCTGGGTCATTTCATCCAACTGTTCCAACAACTTCTTCCTGTCCCTCATGTTGTTGTCATGAGCAGACATGTCTGATACATTCTGGTGCACAAAATGACATACTGGCTTCTTCCCTACTTCCTTCATCCTGATAAAAGCATGAACCACAATCTGTAGAATGTCTTTCATCTCTGTGGAGTTCTCCATGGCCATGTTGATAATAGTGACATCACTGAGTCCTATCACCAGTGTTGCCAGTTCATTGTCATGTTCATGGCTATCATCTAGTTGAGCCAACTCTGGTGATTTCAACCCCTCTGTGTCAATGATCATGATGAAGTCACATTTCAGTTCCTCCTTGAGTTCTTTGTTGACTTTTATCAGTAGCATGAAGGCCCCTCTGGTGCATCTTCCACTGCTGACAGCAAACTGGACCCCAAACATGGTGTTGAGGAGAGTGGACTTCCCAGTGCTTTGGACCCCTAAAACTGTGACCACCCGGATCTTGCTGTTGGATTGGACAAGAGTATGAAGCTGAGTTAGAACAGCTGATATCCATTTCAGAGGGATATTTGATGCATCTCCATCCACAAGCTCAATGGGGAAACCGTCCAACAGCATCTGAGCACACAATCCAGGGAACTGATCCATCTCTGTCCTTTGAGGGCTGTCTTCAGGGAGGGAGCAGGAGGCTTCATACAGCTGGCCCAACTCACGAAAGAAATGTTCAAGTCCCAAGGAACAATCAGACATTTGCCTATCCAAATCTGCAATGTCTTTTTTCTCTGGATGCTTTTTGCAAAGCTCTTTGTACTGCTTCCGCAAACCAGACAAGTTCTGCCGAGACAGATTGTCCAAATTAATCTGCATCCATTTGAGGAAATGGGATTGCTCAGCTTTTCTTGACATTCCAATTCTGAAGTTTTTGATTGCTTCTGTCATATCAAATCTTTGTTGCTTCTCTCTCAGCTCTTTCTCCTTTTTCTTCAGAGAGCTCTTGTAGTGTTCAATTTCTTGACCCCCTGCTTTTCTCAGTCTACATCTCTCTTTCTCCAACTGGGAAATGTCTTTCCAGACTTTCCCTTGTAAGGGTAGTTGCTTGTCTTTGAATTTCACAGTGTTTTCGATGTTGCTGGTGATTTGATCTGCATTCTTCTTGGCACTCTGACACTCATCGAAGTCTTCATCAACAAGAATCCCACTCTGACGAGCTACGTCAGCCATGTTTTCAATTGTAAATGTGTTTGGACTTGTTTCGGTGATGTCACCAACAGATGACTGCAGGGTTTTTACAAATTCTGCATCATTTTCATTTTCCTTAACAATCACATTTGTTGCATTGATACAGAATTCTGTGGTGAGTTTTCTCAATGTATTTTCTGTGAATGTTTTTCTCTGAGAGTCAACAACCAGAAATAACTCTGCTTTTGAGTCTTCTTCCAAAATCTCAGAATCTGCCTTTAAATCATCACTGAAAATGTAAACTGCAGCCGATGTTTGACACAGAAAGGAGAACTGTTTTTCGAAGGATCTGATGTCTCCTCTGAGATTGGCAACAGCCACAGGCTTAGTGAACCTGTCTATGTTTCTGTTCCCACATGGAAAGTACCAGCTGATTTCAACTAGACCATCTGAGATTCTGCGAGGAACATTGCCACATTCCATATGATGATGAACAAATGTATCATGGTACTGTTGAGGGTTACTAAGCAACTTGTTCAAAATCTGAGACTTGGACAAGCTGCTCTTTCCTAGCCTAACAAAGGACACCATAGGAATATCAGAGAGTACAATTCTCTCCTCTATGAAGGACTTTGAGTCAGCTTGTGAAGGCAGCCTGAACTTCTTCACTATGTCCCTCAAGGCCCACAGCATCAAAGTGCTTTGTTTTGTGTCACAGTTTGGCAGCAGGAGAGGAACAGCAAACTGACACATTGACATTTTCTGGACCATCTCCTGCTGGAGGAAACCATCTGAACACAGAAACAGGGCTGTGATAAGGTCCAGGGGGTTAACCTTCATATGATCCTCCTTATCAGAGGTGATGTACTTTACCTCCCTTGCTGACACGTTCATCCTCATCAGTTCTTTCAGAAAACACCATGGTAGAGATTGAGGAGTTAGAGTATGGTTCTTTCCTAATGTTAGGCCATCGATTGCAAGCACGGCATTCAACGACAGTTTCTTCTCAAAATGCTGTGTCAGTCCCAACTTCTGCATAAAAAGTTTCAGTGTGAACTCTGCAATAACAAAGGGAAATGTTTGAGTTTACTAAAATATTGAAGTTCATTTAATCTTGAAGCTGCAATTGATTACTTACTTGTATGTAGGTTTGTACAGACTGGAACGGAACGTTTTGGGAACTCATTTGAATATAGAGAACATGTAGCAGAGAGATATGCTTGAAATGAACATGAAAGAAGAGTTATGTTTTCAAAGTACTTACTTGTGGTGAAAGATGTTGCGATAGGTTGACTTCGCTCCCGATTTTCCAGCACAGTGTAGACAGTGACTGAGTATTCAGTAGCAGGTTGCAGGTCAGAGAGAGTGATACTGTGTGAAGACGTGGTAGTGATGTGTGGTTCTGTCTCTGGACAGTGGTAGGATATCTGGTAATGCTGTTGGGTTTGGTCCAATCCTGGAGGCTGGCTCCAGCTAACAGCAGCTGATGTGGTGTTCACTGAGTCCACATTAAGCTCTACCGGGGCAGGGATAACTAGGGAAGGGATTTAATATAGTTAGTTAATAGTAGCTGATCACTTGTCAAAACAAATGTAGCCCTTTTAGCAATGACTTCCATTCTACTATTACTATTCCACTAAAGGATAATATCCCACTACTAGTTAGAGTCACTACTCACTACTACTATTACACTAGTGTGAGGATTCAAGGCCTCAGAATTCAATGGCTGACAATAACCAGACCCCCTCTCACCCACAGAAGAGGGGATGGGGGGCTGGGCCGGTTTTGACACCTCACACCCTGTCATAAATTAGGGAGGAGGGGAATCTCTCTCTTGCTCTTCAGTATTGGTAAAGGAATGTCCATTGTCTCCAGAATACTTTTGCAGACAAAACTATAACATCCAAAAAGTGAATACTGGAACAATATTTCTAAGATAAGAATATGGGGAATGGTTAGTGGGGACCTAATGAATAATCAGGTCATATTGTTTATTATTTTGTGATGTTATTAAGAATGGTATCAAGACAATACTGTAACTTGGAAAGTATACACACTGTATGTGTCAGGTTTTCATCCTTTACATTGTATATGATATATGAAAAATTATAAGAGTATTTTTGTTAAGATAGGAATGTGATTTTAGTTTTCTAATGAGATAATTGTTTTTCATATAAACTTTGGACCAGTCAGTAGCCACGCCCCGAGTGAGCTCAGAGATCGTGTCAGCAAGTAGGAACGCCCCTTTTACCAAGAATGCATAAAGGCTTCAAAGATAAATTAACATCAGACCAGAAAGCGTGGAGCTGTGGCAACATGGCTGAAAATGGTTAGAACGTTGAACCTCAACACGAGGTGAAGAAGATCGCCTCTCAGACTAGACCCGAACATTGCCAGGCTGCCGCTGTGCGTGTAAAGTGGTCCAAACTCTGACTATCCACACAAGCTAAGTAGCTGTTCTGAAAACACCCCACTACAAGCCAGGACAACTAAGAAGAAGGACATTGTGACCTCTGGTTGGTTTGATTGGTTTCAACAGAGATAGACGACGAACAAAGGCAAACACTTAAATACATTCATGATTTCCTACTCCAAACGGGCGGTGGTTTGTGAGCAAAGTGTTATGATTACTTTGAAGGTAGTTTCCAAATGTATCAACAATAAGTTTGACTCTCTCTTTGTCTCTCTCTCCCTCTCTCTTTCTACCCCTCCCTCTTTTGATAACCAAGCAGTCATGTTGTTGTTAGTCCGCTAGGGACTTTTTCTCATGTATTAAGTGTGTATGTGATTCTGTGTTATTATTTAGTTAGCTAGTATATAAATAATTAAACAAAATTTGTGTAGTGCTGAATCATAAGTAAAGCTGGGGTTCTTGCAGATCCAAGAGGTCTACGACTATTCAGAATGAGACTGATAAGAGGTAATGATTAATACGTTGACTGTTTTAGACATATTGTTAGGTAAAGAACTTTAGAGTTTAATTCGGGAGATGGTAACTCGATAAACAACTTCTTCCGTTGTGCCCCAAATCCTAATGTCACGAATTCCGCCGAGACTGCTCCTCCTCCTTGTTCGGGCAGGTTTCGGCATTCGTCGTCCCCGGAGTACTAGCTGCTACCGCTTGATGTTCTCTATGTTTGTTTGGTTTTGTCTTGTTGGTGCACCTGTTTCGCATTATGTATTGATTATGTCACCTATACGTTTCCTTTGGTTTTGTTTGCAGTTGTGTGTTGTTGTCCGCCTGTCCGTTGGGGATTTGTTATTGCTCTCTTGTATTTAGTGTATTGACGCACTGTATGCGTAATCGCTTGTATTTAGTGTATTGACGCACTGTATGCGTAATCGCTCGCCTCCGTTGTTTTGAGGCCCGTTATTTTGTATTGTCGTGTTTTAACAAGTAAAGTCGGTTTGACTAGCTTCTGTGTCCTGCGCCTGACTACAACACCACATCCACATCAGCACGTGACAGAACAACACACCTTTACTATGGAGTCAGCAGGAGCAGCGGCGGCGACCGAGTCGCTGGAGGATCGGGTCAGCTGCCAGGACGCCAGGATCCAGCAACTTGGCTCCGCCATGCAGGAGGTTATGAACACCCTGCGCTGATGGGAAAGGGGAGGCGTGCCCACACCTCCTCCTACATTACCACCACCATCGGCCAGCCCCACCAGACCAGTTCCGGAATCCAGTGGGATTCGGCTCTCGCTCCCGAGGGCGTATGATGGCACCGCAGCCGGGTGTCAGGGGTTCCTCCTTCAGGTGGAACTCTACTTGGCCACCATACACCCGGCGCCCTCGGGATACGAGAGCGTTTCCGCCCTCATCTCCTGTCTCTCCGGCAAGGCGTTGGAGTGGGCCAACGCCGAATGGAGGGGAATAGACGCCGCCACCATCAGCTACGCGGAGTTCTCCCGCCGCTTCAGGGCTGTTTTCGATCACCCTCCTGAGGGTAAAGCGGCGGGGGGAGCGTCTGTTCCACCTCCGACAGGGGAAGAGGAGCGCACAGGAGTTCGCCCTGGATTTCCGGACTCTAGCGGCGGATGCAGGGTGGAATGAGAGGGCCCTCATCCATCACTATTGGTGTAGCCTGCGTGAGGACGTTCGTCGAGAGCTGGTCTGCAGTGACACCAATCTGTCCTTCGACCAGCTAGTGGACATGTCCATCCGTCTGGATACCCTGCTGGCCACCCGCGGACGTCCATTCCATCCCCCACCACCTCCGAGCCGAGCCCTATGGAGCTCGGGGGTGCTGGCGCTAGAGAGAGAAGGAGAGAGAACCCGAGGGTGGCCGTCCCCTGCACCAGCTGTGGCAGTGGAGGACACACTGCGGCTAGGTGCTGGGGAGGGTCTCCAGGGAATCGGGGCAACAGGTCGCGCACTGGGGAGTCATTTCAGGTGAGTAGGCGCCCCACTCACCCAGAGCTCTCTGTTGTTCATTTGTGTATACCTGTGGTATTTCCTCAGGTTGCATCTCATTCCCAGCATAAGGCGCTAGTCGATTCAGGCGCAGCTGGGAATTTTATTGATCGGAAATTTTGTTCTAAGTTAGGGATTTTTCTCCTGCCCGTTGATGCACCCTTTCCTGTCCATGCCCTAGATAGCCGCCCGTTGGGATCTGGGTTGATTAGGGAGGTCACAGCGCCACTAAAGATGAAGACGCAGGGGGGTCATGAGGAGATTATTCAGTTGTACCTAATTGACTCTCCTGCGTATCCCGTGGTGCTGGGGCTTCCTTGGTTAATCACCCATGACCCCACCATTTCGTGGCAACAGAGGGCTCTCAAGGAATGGTCTGGCCAGTGTGTTGGCCGATGTTTAGGTGTTTCCGTTGGGGGCGACCACGGTGGAGAGTCCGAACCAAGTGCCCGCAATGCACATTCCCCCTGAGTATGAGGATTTGGCACTCGTGTTCAGCAAGACGAGGGCGACGCGATTGCCACCTCATAGACAGGGAGATTGTGCGATAAACCTCCAGACAGGTGCGGCACTCCCGCGGAGCCATGTGTATCCTCTGTCTCAGGAGGAGACGGCGGCTATGGAGACATACATAGCTGAGTCCCTGAGACAAGGATACATACGGCCCTCCACTTCCCCTGCGTCCTCAAGTTTCTTTTTTGTGAAGAAGAAGGATGGAGGGTTGCGCCCGTGTATTGATTATCGTAGTCTCAATCAGATCACTGTGAAATACAGTTACCCTCTTCCTCTGATTGCGAGTATGACTGAATCATTACGCGGATCGCGTTTCTTCACAAAACTGGATCTCAGGAGCGCTTATAACTTGGTGTGCATTAGGGAGGGGGATGAATGGAAGACGGCATTTAGTACCACCTCAGGTCATTATGAGTATCTTGTCATGCCATACGGGTTAATGAATGCTCCCTCAGTCTTCCAATCATTTGTGGACGAGATCTTCTGGGACCTGCATGGGCAGGGAGTGGTAGTGTACATTGACGACATCCTAGTGTACTCTGCTACACGAGCCGAGCATGTAGCCCTGGTGCGCCGAGTGTTGGGTAGGCTGTTGGAGCATGACTTGTATGTCAAGGCAGAGAAATGTCTGTTTTTCCAGGAGTCCATCTCCTTCTTGGGTCATTGGTTGTCCGCGTCAGGGGTGAAGATGGAGATTGACCGGGTGTCAGCCGTGCGTAACTGGCAAACCCCAACCACTGTTAAAGAGGTGCAGCAGTTTTGGGGTTTTGCCAATTACTACCGGAGGTTTATCCGGGGTTTTGGACAGGTGGCAGCTCCCATTACTTCCCTGCTGAAGGGGGGCCCGGTGCGTTTGCAGTGGTCAGCTGAGGCGGACAGGGCGTTTCGTAAACTGAAGGACCTGTTCACTTCGGCTCCGGTGCTGGCGCACCCGGACCCCGCTTTAGCGTTCCAGGTAGAGGTGGACGCGTCAGAGGCCGGTATTGGGGCAGTACTGTCGCAACTCTCCGGCACGCCTCCTAAGCTCCGTCCCTGCGCTTTTTATTCTAAAAAGCTCAGCCCGGCGGAACGTAATCATGACGTATGGGACAGGGAGTTGTTAGCCGTGGTTCAAACCTAAAGGTGTGGAGGCATTGGCTTGAGGGGGCTCAACACCCTTTTCTCATTCTGACTGACCATCGTAACCTGGAGTACATCCGGGCAGCTAGGAAATTGAACCCTCGTCAGGCTAGGTGGAACATGTTTCTGACCCGGTTCGTTTTTAAGATCACTTACATCCCAGGGTCCCAGAACGGTAAGGCAGACGCCCTGTCCCGGCAGTATGACACAGAGGAGAGGTCCATTGAGCCCACTCCCATTCTGCCGAAGTCTTCGTCGTCCCCGGAGTACTAGCTGCTACCGCTTGATGTTCTCTATGTTTGTTTGGTTTTGTCTTGTTGGTGCACCTGTTTCGCATTATGTATTGATTATGTCACCTATACGTTTCCTTTGGTTTTGTTTGCAGTTGTGTGTTGTTGTCCGCCTGTCCGTTGGTGATTTGTTATTGCTCTCTTGTATTTAGTGTATTGACGCACTGTATGCGTAATCGCTTGTATTTAGTGTATTGACGCACTGTATGCGTAATCGCTCGCCTCCGTTGTTTTGAGGCCCGTTATTTTGTATTGTCGTGTTTTGACAAGTAAAGTCGGTTTGACTAGCTTCTGTGTCCTGCGCCTGACTCCAACACAACATCCACATCAGCACGTGACACCTAATGAGTTAATTGTGTCATGACTTGCCCTCATGGGTTGAGGATCAAACATTCCTGCTAGGCAAAGGTTTGAACACCCCCTTTCCTGAGGGCCAGTTTTATGACTTAACAGCCGGTCATAAATAGTCTGCAGAAAAGGACTCCTTTTGGTCTCTAGTATGGGAAGAAATAATTTCCCTGTGAGACAAAGGAAGTCTTCCCGCCAAGACTCCAACATCCAAAAGTGGATAATGAAACAATATTCGTACTTAAAAGAATGTGGGAAATGGTCAGTGGGGATCTAAAGAATAATCATGTCATATTGTTTATTATTTTGTGATGTAATTAAGGATGGTATCAAGTAATAACTGTAACTCGGAAAGTGTACATATTCTATCTATCAAGTTTACATCTAAATGTTGTATAACATATATGATTAAGTATGAGAGTATTTTGGTGAAGATAGGAATGTAATTTTAGTATTCTAATGAGATAATAGTTTTTCATATAAACTATGCACAGTGACTAGCCACGCCCCGAGTGACATCAGAGATCGTGTAAACATGATGGAACGCCCCTTTTACCCTGAGTGCATAAAAATACTTGAAAAACAAATCATCCTTTAGACCAGCAAACGTGAAGCGTGAGCTAAACATTACAAAATGGTTTAAAACTACAACTCCATTACCAAAGGAAGACCAGCAAGCAAGCCCCACATCTTAAAATGGTTGAAACTCTACAGACCAGCAGACGTGAAGTGTGAAGCTACACGTTACAAAATGGTTAGACTAGAAAGACCAGAAAACGTGAAAAGTTAGTCCACACGTTTGAAATTGAGAAACTCTGAAACTCTCAACAAGGTGAAGAAGAAAACAATGCACTAGACCTTATCATCTCAGTCTGCAGCTGGCATGTATAGTCGTCTAGAGAACTTTCACTAAAGACACAAGTTGGAAAAGACAATCCCTCTCCGACAACCGCTGGTACATCTGAAGTATCCATTCAAACCACCACTACGACCAGAAACTCTACCAAGGACATTGAGATCTCTGGTGGGCAAGCCAGAGTCCTACATCATCAACTCAACTATCGAGGACAGCAACACGTAAATACATGTTGCATTTCTAATCCGAATGAGTGTTATTAGGGTGAATAAGTATTATGATTACTGTGAGCATAGTTTCCAAAGTAACCACGATAGTTTGAATCTCTGTCTCTCCCTTCCACTCTGATCCTCCTTCTACCCAAACATTCATGCTATTGTTAGTCCAGTCCACTAGGGACCTGTTTTCATTGTATTACGTTAGTAATCAATAACCTAGGTATGTGTTTGTATTGTGTTATTATCTAGTTGGTTAGTGAATAAATAATTAAGCAAATTTGTGTATTGCTGATTCATCAATAAGGTTAGGGTTCTTGCAGGTTCAAGGATTATGTGACATTCAGAATGAGACTGATAAGAGGTAATTATTTAATAAGTGACTGTTATCGATATAACATATATCTTCTAAGAGTTTAATTCGGGAGATGGTAACTCGTTAAACAACTTCTTCCGTGGTGCCCCAAATTCCTAATGAGTTAATTTTTACATTATTCATTTAATCGAGTGACAATTAAAAGATAGTTAGGTGATTAAATAAATAACAGTCATACATTAAAGTAAATCAGGTCACGACAATTGTTACATTATTAATTTAAATTGGGTAACAATTAAACATAGTTACTTGATTCGATAAATAACAGTCATTACATTAATGAAAATCACGTCACGACACTAACCTACATTTAATAACACTAGGCTCTAACAATTATAATTCTAAACTTCTTAGACGACCATAAAAATTATTTTTGGACAGCTGCAACAAGAACACAACTTCTCTTCAGGAAAAAGGTTCAGATTAGTTAGGATTTGTCAAATTCTGCCCCCCGGTAGTGAAGTGAGTCAGTATGAGGCCTTACTTGTACAGATGGTTGTAGAGAGAGGTTTGCTCTGTTTTCCATTGTTCAACACAGTTGAGACACTGATGGTGTACTGAGTACCAGGTAGCAGGCCAGAGAGAGTTCTGTAGCAGTCCTCAGTATTGGCTGCACGGGGCTCTGTTCCTCGACGGCAGTAGGATATGAGGAAGCTCTGTGGGACTTTCTCCATTCCTTCAGCCTTGGACCAACTGACAGTGAAGGAAGTCGCTCCTGACTGGTTTATTTGTAAGTCCCTGGGTGCTGGGACCACTAAAAATACATATAATATGTTTTATGAAACGAAATATAGGATTGGCCTATAGCTAATGTCTTGTTTGGACATCACATGAAAAAGCAACATCCCTAGAAGCAAATAACCAAAGACAAACTCAAGTTACTTTACCTGTAAATACAGATTTTGAGACCCATCTGCTTCGGCTGCCATCTTCTCCCTCTGTAGCCACACTGAACTGGTACTTTTTACCAGGCTGGAGTCCATCTATTTCAATATTACACCCATCTTCCACACTCAGGCTCCTCTCTTCCCCATCACATCCCCAGGTCATGCTGAACTTCTGTGGTCCGGTCAGTCCCTCAGGAGGACCCCAGGTCAGAGACACAGAGTCTGATGTCACTGACAGGAACTGGATCTCACCAGGAGGGGGCAGCACTTCTAAAGAAATAATGGAAGAGAAAATGACTTTAATTGCACTGACACACACTAAAAAGAAAACTACATACTAATCATACAACCATTATGGAATAAGAATGATTAATCTAAACAAATTAATCTTCCTCTTTTAATGATCTTAAAATGGTATGCATGTTGTTGAACACAATGTAAAGGTCTCAAAATACATTGTTTAGGTAATGTATTTCTTGATTGTACACCTACCGTCAACGGAGGCCAGCCTTGGGCTTTGACATTGCTCTCTATCAAAAGTCTTGAAAACAGAGTAAGAACCCATTATTCTGATGAAAAAACAGTTGTTTCTTTGCAGAACATATAACATTATTATCAAATGCTGTTAGGCCTACTGCTGCTAGGTAGCTCTCTCTCTGCTCTCCCCCTCCCCTCTGTCTGTCCTTGATTGCAGGAGTAATAATAATAATAATAATATGCCATTTAGCAGACGCTTTTATCCAAAGCGACTTACAGTGATGCGTGCATACATTTTTGTGTATGGGTGGTCCCGGGGATCGAACCCACTACCTTGGCGTTACAAGCGCCGTGCTCTACCAGTTGAGCTACAGAGGACCACTGACTCCCGCACACCAGACCACCAGGAGTGAAGTCTGGTGTGCGGGAGTCAGGGTTCCAGCTGCAGCTCATTCACCATAATCACCTCAGCCTTTAAGACCCGGTCAAACTTGCCACTCATCGTCAGATCATAGTCAAGACGACCATGTTAGTTTCGCTGTTGACTCAACCTGCTTGTTTTCGCACTTTGTGTTTTTGGCCTGTTCTAGTTACTTTTATCCTGTGCCACAGATTATTGGAACCTGACTCCTGCCTCCGCTTCACTCCTGCCACCACCATCCTGCTTTCCACTACCGGACCTCCCTTTTGGACTCACCACGGACACTAGGACATTACGGTACCACACCTGCTCTGAACCTGGATCTGTTACCCTCCCTGTAAACCTGGACTTGCTCTTCCCCTATTATTGGAAACCTGGACAAATTGCACTTCGTAAAAAAACCTGTTAAACCTTCTCTGGCTCGGTGTAGTTGTCTGCATTTGGGTTCAAATCCAGTTAAATCATGACAAATGCAATATCTTCTTTAAAGAGCATCTTCAGGTGCAAAAAATAGAGTACCTACCTGTCTTCCTGCTTGTTTTATCTCTTCATAGACTACATCATGTCCTTTGTGTTCTGTTACTACACACAGACTGCAGATCAGCTTCTGGTCTGTCCTGCAGAACACCTCCAGAGCTCTGTGGTGCTCCTGACAGAGTCTCTCCTCCAGGTCTCCAGTCACCTCCACCAGGGTGTGTCTCTGTAGTTTAGGTACTGTGTAGTGCTTCCTAACGTGGGTCTCACAGTAGGAGAGAGTGCAGGTCTGACAGAACTTCACAGCTTTGACGTCACAGACATCACAGAACACCTCTCCTGGCCTGATGATGCTAAGTGGAAGACAATTACACACATTAAAACTTAAACATTAAACATTAAATACATTAACTTATTAGATTTACCAAGCAACTTTAAATTTCACAAGAAACATTTACTTTATATACATGTCAATCACGTACACTATATATACAAAAGTATGTGGACAGCCTTCAAATTAGTGGATATGTATATTTCAGCCATTGTAACCATATAATTGCCTTGTTTTCAAATTTTTCCGTCGACTCCCCTAGAGGATAAAACAAGGATCAAAACAAGATGGCCACTGCACTTGTGTCTGGTAGGAGTTTCCATGGAAATGTAAGTGACCACATATTATGGGATTGAAGGTCTTGTCTTCTGAAGTAAAGTGAGTTACAGTAAGTCGTTCAGGAAATTAAACTTGTTGGATTTGGAGATCATCAGGCAGCTGTTTTGTTCGTTATATATATATTTTTGAACCATTAGAGCTACACTATGTATTTAAAAGTATGTGGACACCCCTTCAAATGAGTGGATTCGGCTATTTCAGCCACACCAGTTGCTGACAGGTGTTTAAAATCGAGCACACAGCCATATCCATAGACAAACATTGGCAGTAGAATGGCCTTACTGAAGAGCTCAGTGACTTTCAACGTGGCACCATCATAGGATGCCACCTTTCCAACAAGTCAGTTTGTCAAATTTCTGCCCTACTAGAGCTTCCCCAGGCAACTGTAAGTGCTGTTATTGTGAAGTGGAAACGTCTAGGAGCAACAACAGCTCACCTGCAAAGTGGTAGGCCACACAAGCTCACAGAAAGGGAACGCGGAGTGCTGAAGCGCGTAAAAATTGTCTGTCCTCGGTTATAACACTCACTACCCAGTTCCAAACTGCCTCTGGAAGAAGCAGAGATGCTAGGAGAACGTTACATACCCTAATGCATAGTGCCAACTGTAAAGTTTGGTGGAGGATGAATAATGGTCTGGGGCTGTTTTTCATGGTTCAGGCACCTTAGTTCCAGTGAAGGGAAATCTTAACGCTACAGCATACATTTTTCATACTGGCCCCCCGTGAATACTTTCTGAAGCCACTGTATCCACCAACACCTCCCTTATAAGCATTCCTGTCTCGCCTATAGATGTTATATCATTGTATTGCTACTGCTGTACTATCAAAGGAATTATCTAAGTAAGTCCTCAAAAATGGCTAATATATTAATGTTATCTGATGTTAGCAAGTTATTGACTTCATTAACCTTATTTCTAAGGCTACATATATTAATATGGGCCATTTTCAGCCCTTTCCTGGGTAGCTTATCAGAGATAGACATAATATGGAAAAGAACAAACAAAGCAAGAGAAAAACAAATATTCAGCAGTCCATTAATCAGTTGGTGTGTATAAGTGTGTGTGTGTGCTGCGGGGTTGAAGCTACGAACCCATAGGCTTGGCTCTCTACTCCCTTCCAGGCTTTTGGGAGGGAGGGTGGACAATGAGCCTGTCATAGCGTATGTAAGCAATGTCCCCACGCGCTCTGGCAGCTTTCATGGCTGGGATAAGTTCTTTCCTCTTCTGGCGCACAGCTTCAGGATAGTCCTCATTGAGGAAGATGTACGTTCCTCTCAAGTTCTTGGCTCTTTCCAGAACAGCTACCTTTTCATTGAAATTCAGAAATGTGATCACTATTGGGCTTATCACCTGGGACGGTGGTGTGTTTTCCAGTCCTGTTGGTGCGCTCCACCTCAATCTTCCTGTGGTCCATCTTCAGTTTCTCTGAGATAATTTCCCTCACTTCTCGTGGAGATTCTGCAATTCCGTCCACAACAACGTTGTTCCGCCTTGATTGTCCCTCAAGATAATCTGACTTCTCCATCATTGTTATCATGGATTCACTTACGGAACTGATGTCCTCTCTCAATGACTTACATATTGCTGTCATCTTGCCATTCTCCTGTTTAAACTCATCGAGCTGACCCTGGGAGAACTGCAAACTGTTCTTCAGGTCCTGGACCTCTCTGGTCCTGGACCTCTTTGTAGCAACTGATAATGTAATAACTGCCAATAATTTAATACCTGCTAATAACGTAATAACTTTTGCATTTATAATGTAATAAATGCTGATAATGTAATAAATTGCCAATAATGTAATAAATATTCTGAACGCATAATGTAATAATGTTTTTGTGCTTAATGTAATAATAATAATAATTATATTACATTTGCGTTGATTATTACATTATAAAGTGGGTCACCTTTTTTCATCAATCATGTAATAACTTAAACCAATAATGTAATAACAACATAGAAACACAATTTTCTTTAATATCATGCATACTAAGTGTCATACACTTGAGAAACACTCTGCATTTGTATCCACTGCCACAACAGACTTGCACACTTTTTACTCCATACATTTTCCCTGACACCCAAAAGTACTTGTTACATTTTCAATGCTTAGCAGGACAGAAAAATAGTCTACTGCCTCTGATCTGGCAGACTTACTAAACACAAATGCTTTGCTTTGTTTGTAAATTATGTCTGAGTGTTGGAGTGTGCCGCTGGCTTTCCGTAATTTAAAAAACAAGAAAATTGTGCCATTTGGTTTGCTTAATATAAGGAATTTGAAATGATTTATACTTTTACTTTTGATACTTAAGTATATTTGAGCAATTACATTTACTTTTACTCAAGTATGAAAATTGGGTACTTTTTCCACCACTGTCAGTTGCTACAAGGTCATCCATTTTTTATTAGTTGACTCCACCAGTATTTGGACACAACACTTGAAGCTAATTTCTTGTTGTCGTAACAACTGCTTGTAGAACTATTTTTGTTCGTTGAAAAGATCCCTCCCCTGTGATAGAGAGACACCACTGTCCTCAACTCCAAACGGATTTGGTCTTTATCATGGTAGCAACGTAGCCTACGCTGTTACTCCTCGCAGTTCCAGACATGGCAGGTCGCAGGGAAGATGGAAACAGCAACAAACAGCAGGAATCTAGACAGCCATAACCCAGGACAATCCGCGGTCCCACCCACAAGGGCTAATCGCTTCGCGGGCTGCATTCAAGCCCTCAAGAAAACCTTGCTAGCGTGATAGGCAGCACCAATGGGCATTTTCTGATATCAAGAAACACCCTGAATTGGGTTCTCAATGCAGGCGCAAATAGCTAGGCTAGTTTTAGACACAGCCAGCCAGTGGTTGTAAGCTTGTAACGCTAACGTCATGGTGCATGCAAACAACTCACTTGCGAAAATTCCCTCATTGAAAATATCCTCTGCGAGCTCCATCTAGCTACCGGAAATGTTTACGGCAGGACATGAACGGATAGGGCTCTGGAAGGATGTCCCAACTCCGCCCTTTCCTCTCTGCCAAACTGACGTTGGTTTTAGTACAGACGTGTAGGCTGGAACATTGGTACATTGTGGGAGGTAACCTGTCTGTCTACAGAGACTACTCTGCTTGTGCCGAGTCATTTTCAATGAAAGATGACCCGTAACTGGTTTGGTTCTGGTATATTAACTGGAAATTGTTAACTCCAAACTTGTCCGCCACGAGTCGGTGGGAGTTTTAATGTTGAATCCAAATTATTCATGGCCCGTAATAAAGACCCCAAAAGAGCTTGTTGCACGCCCGCATAAGTCTGAATACCAAAAACTGCCATGTGCTTAATTCCAAAAACTCTTAGGAAACGTGTAGGCCTATCTTTCTTAAAGGGATAGTGCGATATTTGGGCAATTAAGCCCTTTTTATACTTACCCAGAGTTAAACAAACTCATGGATAACAATTGTTTGTCTTTGTGTGCAGTTTGAAGGAAGACGCTAACTAACATTAGTGCAATTGCAAGTTGTCTGTAGACTTCCAGTCATTGCGCTAATGCTAGTTAGCAATGGCTCACAAAACAACCTTCAACTTCCTTCAAACTGCACGCAGAGACATAAAAATGCTATCCATGAGTTCATGAATAAAATGGAGTGGCTGGGTTGCTAAAAACATTGTGTGCCTCTTCCCAATAGCAAACACAACTAACCTTCTGCATATGTGCAGGATTCTCTACTTTATCATTTTTTGCTACCAACACTGCCACTTCCCTCTCCTGTGTGTGTGTGTGTGTGTGTGTGTGTGTGTGTGTGTGTGTGTGTGTGTGTGTGTGTGTGTGTGTGTTAAATTGGGATAGTTAGTTAAGTGTTGAAGTTTTAAAAAATAAAAATAACTTTGTGATACAATGTTAATGCCATACTTGTACATTTTCTGTTAAATATCACCACAACCTAGCAACCACTGTTGCTTGTGCTTTAGCTGTCACCTTGATTAATTGGCTACAGTAGCTAGCTAGCACTTTCCTCACCATGATGTTAACAGAACTATTCAACGGTGGGTGGACCCCCACAAAAGACATTGTGACCTGACTTGCCGTGCATGCTATCCCCACTGAATATACTTTATCCCGGTGAAATCCAGATGGTTACCAATACCAATTTTATAATATTTCTCATGAAGTCTGCAGAGGAAAATATTTAGCGAAGATGTTCCCGGCGGTGATATTGTCTCTGATCCTGTCTCAGCTCGCATGTCTCTGATCCTGTCTCAGCTCGCATGTCTCTGATCCTGTCTCAGCTCACATGTCTCACAGCATCTAACACATGCGCAGAACGTGATTCGTTTTGTGCCTCTGGGTAAGAAAAGTCTGATTCGGTCGCACAGCCTCTGCCTAAATAAAATGTATGATCTTACTTCTCTTTTTGAGCTGAGTTCACCTCCTCGTCTTCTTCATCCGTATTCAGTGACTGGTGACTTTTTGCTGATGCATAACTCAGAGTTGGTGACTCTGCTCTCTCCAGAAGGACACTGAAAGTACAGTAGAATAGAGTAATTCATAACTTTGAGGAGTAGAAGCATCAAAAGTCAACCAATTAGTATTGATATTAACTTCAAGAAAATGCCATAAAGTAGGTGCATATTTGACCGGCAGATTCAAAGGTTAGGATTAGGGCTTAGGTATTGAAATTGGTTAAGTTTAGGATTAAGGTTAAAGGTTTAGACTTAAGGTCAGGGTTGGGGACGTGAGGTTAGGGGTCAAATCCTTTTGAACAAAGTCTCCTTTGAAAAGAATAGTAAATCAACACTATGAGAGGTGGATATAACAGAACAAAAAACAATTAATTCATTGGAATTGACATCAAAATGAATAAAGTCAATCTATCACCCCTCATTTGGAATTGCTAAAAACCTGTTTTCGCTTTGTCATTATGGGGTGTTGTATGTATATTTATGAGGAAAAACATTTATTTAATCAATTTGAATCAATTTTCAGTCTGGATACTTTCCAAAGGCACTGTACATACATACATACAGTGCTTTCGGAAAGTATTAAAGACCCCTTGACATTTTTCACATTTTGTTACGTTACAGCCTTCTTCTAAAATGTATTAAATTGTTTTTTTTCCTCATCGATCTACACACAATACCCCTTAATGACAAAGCAAAAACAGGTTTTTAGAAATGTTTGCTCATTTATAAAAAAGGAAAAACTGAAATATCAAATTTACATAAGTATTAAATCCCTTGAATCAGTACTTTGTTGGACACACCTACTCATTCCAGGGTTTTTCTTAATTTTTACTATTTTCTACATTGTAGAATAATAGTGAAGACATCAAAACTATGAAATAACACATATGGAATCATGTAGTAATCAAAAGGTGTTAAACAAATCAAAATATATTTTATATTTGAGATTCTTCAAAGTAGCCCACCCTTTGCCTTGATGACAGCTTTGCACACTCTTGGCATTCTCTCAACCAGCTTCATGAGGTAGTCACCTGGAATGCATTTCAATTAACAGGTATGCCTTCTTAAAAGTTAAATTGTGGAATTTCTTTCCTTCTTAATGCGTTTGAGCCAATCAGTTGTGTTGTGTGACAAGGTAGGGGTGGTATACAGAAGATAGCCCTATTTGGTAAAAGACCAAGTCCATATTATGGCAAGAACAGCTCAAATAAGCAAAGAGAAACAACAGTCCAGCATTACTTTAATACATGAATATCAGTCAATCTGGAAAATGTCAATAACTTTGAAAGTTTCTTCAAGTGCAGTCGCAAAAACCATCAAGCGCTATGATGAAACTGGCTTTCATGAGGACCGCCACAGGAAAGGAAGACCCAGTGTTACCTCTGCTGCAGAGGATAAATTCATTAGAGTTAGCTGCACTCAGATTGCAGCCCAAATAAATGCTTCACAGAGTTCAAGTAACAGACACATCTCAACATCAACTGTTCAGAGGAGACTGCGTGAATCAGGCCTTCATGGTCAAATTGCTGCAAAGAAACCACTACTAAAGGACACCAATAAGAAGAAGAGACTTGCTTGGGCCAAGAAACACGAGCAATGGACATTAGACCGGTGGAAATCTGTCCTTTGGTCTGATGAGTTCAAATTGGAGATTTTTGGTTCCAACCGCCGTGTCTTTGTGAGGCGCAGAGTAGGTGAACGGATGATCTCCGCATGTGTGGTTCCCACCGTGAAGCATGGAGGAGGAGGTGTGATGGTGTGGGGGTGCTTTGCTGGTGGCACTGTCAATGATTTCTTTAGAATTCAAGGCACACTTGACCAGCATGGCTACCACAGCATTCTGCAGCGATATTCCATTCCATCTGGTTTGCGCTTAGTGGGACTATCATTTGTTTTTCAACAGGACAATGACCAAACACACCTCCAGGCTGTGTAAGGGCTATACGACCAAGAAGGAGAGTGATGGAGTGCTGCATCAGATGACCTGGCCTCCACAATCACCCGACCTCAATCCAATTGAGATGGTTTGGGATGAGTTGGACCGCAGAGTGAAGGAAAAGCAGCCAACAAGTGCTCAGCATATGTGGGAACTCCTTCAAGACTGTTGGAAAAGCATTCCAGGTGAAGCTGGTTGAGAGAATGCCAAGAGTGTACAAAGCTGTCATCAAGGCAAAGGGTGGTTACTACATAATATGTGTTATTTCAAAGTTTTGATGTCTTCACTATTATTCTAGAATGTAGAAAATAGTAAAAAATAAAGAAAAACCATTGAATGAGTAGGTGTGTCCAAACTTTTGACTGGTACTGTATATATATAAAATGGTGCGGATCTTAATTTCCCTAATTAATGAATAATATGCGTTATAATGTAGGCAGTTCATGAGAAGGATTGTTACCTATATCCAGGATTGCCATTACAAAATTCTCATTTTTTGCAAGCAATTATTCTTTTAGCAAACAATTATTTTGATTCATCCTATATTGTCCCTAACTCATTACCCCATAGCAACAGATGTGGGATACATATACACACACACACATAATCATACACACACAACCTTTTTCCACCACAAACAACCACAAGCTCAGATGTTCAACAGTTGTTCCATCCCCGAGCCCAACTTTGAGAAGGCATGCAAAATGTTGCAAACATTTGCAACATTTGAAAGATTTGATTAACCAATGTCAAGTCCTAGCTGATGGAGATCAGATTCACCCCCTTCCCCTGAAACTCACACACGCTGGTCCCCCGTTGTAACCATTTTCCCAAGCATCTCTGTGCAGTCAGACCTTTGATTATTTTGTGCCACCAGGGCCACAATAATTTGCCCCCTCTCTAATTGTCAGAGTGTGACCCCCTCCCCATGGATTACTGCACCTAGTGTTGCCAGCACTGCCACTACCTGGGTGGGGGCACCCCAATGCAATCCCTACCGGCAAGTTCTCATTAGCAGCTTTGAGAAATTCCTTGTATTATTCTGCTCACCCATCAGGGGGCTCTGGCTTTGTAGGACCAACTCTGGCAGGCAGGCTCAGAATCTTGAGGGGGCGGTGCTGCTTTAGTAGGTCTCTGACCACATTCATCTTTATGTTTTGGCTGCGCATAGGCTACTTACAGTAGGCCCATTAAACAGATAAGGACTTCTCCTTAGTGTATGGGGTCGCTCAGGTGGGTGTCTAGGGTATAGGGTTGGGGACCGTTCAATCATGATAGGACAATAATAAATAATTTATTTTAAAATGTATATCCCATATCTGCACAAAATTGAAAGCTCTCTCTCACAACCCCTGCTCGCAGACACACAATCAATTGTTTCCATATACAGCTGGCAAGTCTGTTGCTAGGTAACTAGATAACGTTAGCTAATTGTTTGCTAGCTGGTTAACGCTAACGTAAGCATTGCATGCTAGATCAAATTAAACTTCACATAAACACTCAGAACATTCAACTATTAGTTTGAGGTCAATGGTGACTTGCTTACCTTGAAATAAAGCTTAAAATTGTGTTAATTAGGAGTTTTGTTATTCTGTCTTCATAGCTAAAGTTTGCTTGCTGTTCTCAACTGCCTGAAATCTCTAGCGCGATCTTACAGAAGAAACAACCTACAGTCCTTCCAGGATTTAGTTATTCTGCGTTCACAATCTTTTTTGCTAAATCAAATATTTCCTGCATATTATGCGAAATGTAAACAAACGCTCTATTACCGCATAAAACACTCAAATCATTGCAATATTACTGCATATAACTGTCCGATCAACGCACTTAAAAAGAGGGCTCACAATTTTAACCAATCACCACACTTTTACTGCATAAAATGGTTAAATCAAGCAACACGTCAACAAACGTTTTCCCTTGTCAGCGCATTTTCGTGACAAATTGCACAAAATCATTGTTGCAAAATGTAATTATTGTCGAAGCAGAGAATCAAGCATTTTGGCCTGCAACTATGACAAAAACAAACTGAAATCCTGAAGACACTGTCATAACAAGGCAAGTGGGGACCTCTTGTGGCAGACACAGAATGCACAAAATCCTTTTCTATAGACCTGAATAGGATAATAACAATATAATTGGTTACTCTGCTATATTCTACTGCACATAAAGTAAGTTACCAATTATAGCCTACTATAAGCAAAAGTAAATTCATTAATTAGTGACATCAAATTGGATAAAATGCCATAAATAAAATGTATTATCTCACCCCTCTTTTTTAGTTAATTCTCCCTCCTTGAATCCAGGAGGGTTAAGCATTGATTGGTCACTCTTCATTGATAGATAACTGGGGGCTGGTGACACTGGTCTCTCCAGATGGACCCTGCAAGCAACAAAAGACCGTCCCACAATTCAATTGAACATACCATAAACATATACAGTACATGATACACATGACATACAGCTTTACTACTCTGCATAGGTTGTACTGGTTTACCTTCCATCCATGATTTGGTCTCCACCATCAGTTGGGTCTATGCTTGAATTCACTGACTGGTCACTCTGGCCACTCATAGACATATGACTATCTGTACGTAGCTGGAGATGCTTCAAATTGTTTCTGTGAACATAAAAAAGGTGAATTGTTAGGTAATCAAGAAATAACTAATGAGACAAACAACAAAAAATAAGTTGAAGCACCTTAGTTCTCCTGTACTCTCCAGTGTTCTAGAGGACTCCCAGCTGGGTGTAGGAAAGTCTATTTTATGCACATGGACACTGTGAACAGAGAAGATTTTTACTGCAGCTTTAGCGTTTGAGAACTTTCTGATAGTGAAACAGGGGTTGGAACAGTTCAGGGAACAGAACAGAAAACCGTAAAGGAACAAAAACATTTTTGAGGAACATAAACAAAAATCGGGAACAAAAGTATTTTCTACTGTTCCGAAACAGAACCATTATTTTAAAAGCATGGGAACCGGTTAATAATGTTCTTGGGGAAAAATGCCATCAAAGCGCCTATGCAAAGCACTTACTCTGTCACACAGGAACTTCTGTTTCCAGTGTCTGCCTGCCAGCTAGTTTTCTAGGCTAGTTAAGGATACTATAGTTATCACGTTTCACATTGAATGTAACAAAAAGGTTAGACTCATTTTGAATTCTGGTGCCGCTGCACACACAAGCTTGTTGGCTAGCTCTGGTCCAGGGCGTTGAGATAGCCTCAGTGTTGAGCCAACTCTTGGACGTTCAAAGTACCCCCAATATTTGCCGCTCCTCCGTAGCTAGTGCTTTCAAAAAGTATTAACACCCCTTGACTTTTTATGCATTTTGTTTTATTACAGCCTGAATTTAAAATGTCCAAGTGGAATTTGTTTTTAGAAAGTTTTACAAATGTATTAAAAATGAAAAGCTGAAATGTCTTGAGTATTCAACCCCTTTGTTATGGCAAGCCTAAATAAGTTCAGGAGTACCAGTCACATAATAAGTTACATGGACTCACTCTGTGTACAATAATAGTGTTTAACATGATATTTTAATGACTACCTAATCTCTGTACCCCACACATATAATTATCTGTAAGGTCCCTCAGTCGAGCATTGAATTTCAAACACAGATTCAACCACAAAGACCAAGGAGGTTTTCCAATGCCTCGTAAAGAAGGGCACCCATTGGTAGGTGGGTAAAAAAACAAACAGACACTTTGGATGGTGTATCAATACACCCAGTCACTACAAATATACAGGTATCTTTCCTAACTCTGTTGCAAGAGAGGAAGAACACCACTCAGGGATTTCACCATGAGGCCAATGGTGACAGTTACAGAGTTCAATGTCTGTGATAGGAGAAAACTGAGGATGCATCAACATTGTAGTTACTCCACAATACTAACCTAATTGACAGAGTGAAAAGAAAGAAGCCTGTACAAAATAAAAAATATTCCAAAACATGCATTCTGCTTGCAACAAGGCACTAAAGTAATACTGCCAAAAATGTGGAAAAGCAATTAACTTTTTTCCTGAATACAAAGTGTTATGTTTGGTTCATAAATATGCCACTCTCCATATTTTCAAGCATAGTGGTGGCTGCATCATGTTATGGGTATGCTTGCAATCGTTAAGGACTGGGGAGTTTTTCAGGATAAAAAAGAAACCGAATGGAGCTAAGCACAGGTAAAATCCTAGAGGAAAACCTGGTTCAATCTGCTTTCCACCAGACACTGGGAGATGAATTCACCTTTCAGCAGGACAATAACCCTAAACACATTTGAAAAAAGTTATAAAAACCTGTTTTTGCTTTGTCATTATGGGGGTACTGTGTGTAGATTGACGGGGGGGGGGGGGGGGGGGGGGGGGGGGGACAATTTAATCAATTTTAGAATAAGGCTGTAATATAACTAAATGTGGAAAAAGTCAAGGGGTCCGAATATTTTCAGAATGCACCGTAAATGAGTTATTTCTGTATTCAATTTTCAATACATTTGCAAAAAAAATCTAAAAAACATGTTTTCACTTTGTCATTTTGTGTATTGTGTGCAAATCCGTGAGAACAAAAATCAATGTAATCCATTTTGAATTCAGGCTATAACAACAAAATGGGGTATAAGTCAAAGGGTATGAATACTTTCTGAAGGCACTGCATCTAGCTAGCATAGAATGATGTAATTCAGTGAAGTAATGATAGGCCTACTACTTATATCCTAAACACATTATAATGCCGAGCACTTCAAGGCAGCACCCCTCTCTCTCACTCTCTCTCCATCCCGCAAAATGTAAGTCACATCTCGCACCCTACACTTGTCTGTCATTCAAGGATGTAAACTAGCTTGCCCGGTCCATACAAAGCTGCTCTATCTGCACTGACTGGTGGAGTAATTTAATGAGCTAAATGTAAAAACGATGTTAACTTCACAAGTTCAAAAAGGAACAGAAAGGAATTATATAAACTGGTACTTTTCTCTCACTCGAACCTATTCAGAACTTTATTATGCTGGTCGGAATGGTGGAACGGAACTAAAATATTGTGGTTCTGTTCAGAAAGAAACGATTGGAAAATAATTTCGGTTCCAACCCCTGTGGTGAACACAAATAGAGTATTAGTTTGATTGAAATGAAAGACTACAGTGCATACTGCAGGGGTTAAATTAGGGGAAACTGAGTTCCACCATTATCTGACTGGAAACAGCATACAGTTGGAATTGAATTATCATTTTCCAATTGCATTTTCCAATTTAATCTATTACTATACCATGTTATGTCAGTAAATACTATAATAAACAGTTATCCTGATAATTACTATAATAAACAGTTATCCTGATAATTACTATAATAAACAGTTATCCTGATATTTACTATAATAAACCGTTATTCTGATCATTACTATAATAAACAGTTATCCTGATAATTCCTATACTAAACAATTATCCTGATAATTACTATAATACACAGTTATCCTGATAATTACTTTAATACACAGTTATCCTGATAATTACTTTAATACACGGTTATCCTTATAATTACTATAATAGTTATCATGATAATTACTATAATAAACAGTTATCCTGATAACTACATCAGATGTCAACATTAGAAGTGCAACGTGCTCCAATCGACGGACACACACACACACACACACACACACGCCTACCTCATATCAGGATCCATGGTCTCATCAAGATCCTTGTTTGGTGACCCATCCTTCTGTCTTTCTTTAGAGATGGCACCACCCTCAGCCCCCTGATGATAACTCATTATAACTCTCAGAGAGGAGGCCTCACAATCCTGAAGAGGACTGGTCTGGTCCCATATCAATCTGTAAATAAGTAGAGTAAATACCATTATATTAAAACGTTTAAACACAAAAGCAGAGTAGGCCTGCTGTACTGGGGATTTAAGTTGACATTATAATGACATTCTGTAATGCATTTTGTGCCGAATACAATTGTGAAAAGCAATAAGGCTGAATGTTTAAAAAAAAAAAAATATTATAGTAATTATCAGGATAACTGTTTAGTATAGTAATTACTGACATAACATGGTATAGTAATTACATAGTGATTATGTAATTATGTTATTTAGTTGTCTTTTTCGTGTCAGTCCTCTTTTAGGAAATTGTATTATGCCTAGGCAGGACACCAATCCGCCCCAGTTTATTTTTTATACAGTTTATGTTCAATTGACATCAAAAGTTAATTTTTATTAATTTCCCCGACCTACTACGTTAAGTATACTAACCTGTGGAATAATTTATCCTAACCTGCTAAGAAAAGTCAATCAATTCTGACATAAACTGTATCCCTTCTAGCCAATCCGCCCCAACCTAGTAATGGCTAGTTTATACTGTTTATTTCAATTTGACGTCAAAAGTTTATTTTTGCATTTTAGTTAACCCTAACCCTTTACTTAACTTTAACCTAATTTCCCCCAACCTACTACGGCAATTATACTAACCTGCGGGGGGGGGGGGCAATTTAATCAATTTTAGAATAAGGCTGTAACATAACTAAATGTGGAAAAAGTCAAGGGGTCCGAATATTTTGCGAATGCACCGTAAATGAGTTATTTCTGTATTCAATTTTCAATACATTTGCAAAACAAATCTAAAAAACATGTTTTCACTTTGTCATTTTGTGTATTGTGTGCAAATCCGTGAGAACAAAAATCAATGTAATCCATTTTGAATTCAGGCTGTAACAACAAAATGGGGTATAAGTCAAAGGGTATGAATACTTTCTGAAGGCAATGCATCTAGCTAGCATAGAATGATGTAATTCAGTGAAGTAATGATAGGCCTACTACTAATATCCTAAACACATTATAATGCCGAGCACTTCAAGGCAGCACCCCTCTCTCTCACTCTCTCTCCATCCCGCAAAATGTAAGTCACATCTCGCGCCCTACACATGTCTGTCATTGAAGGATGTAAACTAGCTTGCCCGGTCCATACAAAGCTGCTCTATCTGCACTGACTGGTGGAGGAATTTAATGAGCTAAATGTAAAAACTATGTTGACTTCACAAGGTAAAAAAGGAACAGAAAGGAACAATATAAACCAGTACTTTTCTCTCAGTCAAACCTGTTCAGAACTTTATTATGCTGGTCGGAAAAGTGGAACGGAACAACAAAAAAATAGTAGTTCTGTTCAGAACGAAACGATTGGAAAATAATTTCGGTTCCAACCCCTGTGGTGAACACAAATAGAGTATTAGTTTGATTGAAATGAAAGACTGCAGTGCATACTGCAGGGGTTAAATTAGGGAAAACTGAGTTCCACCATTATCTGACTGGAAACAGCATACAGTTGGAATTGAATTATCATTTTCCAAATGCATTTTCCAATTTAATCTATTACTATACCATGTTATGTCAGTAAATACTATAATAAACAGTTATCCTGATAATTACTATAATAAAAAGCTATCCTGATAATTACTATAATAAACAGTTATCCTGATAATTACTATACTAAAGAGTTATCCTGATCATTACTATAATAAACAGTTATCCTGATAATTACTATAATACACAGTTATCCTGATAATTACTATAATACAGTTATCCAGATAATTACTATACTAAAGAGTTATCCTGATCATTACTATAATAAACAGTTATCCTGATAATTACTATAATACACAGTTATCCTGATAATTACTATAATACAGTTATCCAGATAATTACTATACTAAAGAGTTATCCTGATCATTACTATAATAAACAGTTATCCTGATAATTACTATAATACACGGTTATCCTGATAATTACTATAATACACAGTTATCCAGATAATTACTATAATACAGTTATCCTGATAATTACTATAATACACAGTTATCCTGATAATTACTATAATACAGTTATCCAGATAATTACTATACTACACAGTTATCCTGATAATTACTATAATACAGTTATCCTGATAATTACTATAATACACAGTTATCCTGATAATTACTATAATACAGTTATCCAGATAATTACTATACTAAAGAGTTATCCTGATCATTACTATAATAAACAGTTATCCTGATAATTACTATAATACACAGTTATCCTGATAATTACTATAATACAGTTATCCAGATAATTACTATACTAAAGAGTTATCCTGATCATTACTATAATAAACAGTTATCCTGATAATTACTATAATACACAGTTATCCTGATAATTACTATAATACACAGTTATCCTGATAATTACTATAATACACAGTTATCCAGATAATTACTATAATACAGTTATCCTGATAATTACTATAATACACAGTTATCCTGATAATTACTATAATACAGTTATCCAGATAATTACTATACTAAAGAGTTATCCTGATCATTACTGTAAGTGGTGTTACATAGATGCTGTGTTCACGATGCATGATTAATACATAATTCATGGTTTATTTGATGTAGTAAATAAATAAATGATTTATTGATGTATAGGTAAGAATTTAAATGTGATGTAACAGGTAAAATTAACGTTAGACCATTGTTTGTGTTTTTATGTTCCATCCCGAAACTAACGTTCTCTGTTGTGTTACTGCTACGGAATTTGTTAATTGACTGTGTGCAATCTAACTTAAGCAGATCTCAGTCTGAGTTATAATTGTTGATGGCAGAGGCCAAGCAAGACAGTAAAGGGACTTTCAAGGGACTTTAAGGATTCAGTAACCTCTTTTCAGGACAAGCAGCCAACGAGGTATTTTGTTCAACCTGTAGAACTTTATTTATATTCGCGCCAAGCACCATTTTGTATTCTTTTGTTTCAGTACTGTATAATTTATCAACGTTACTGTGTTCATTCAAATATATAGTTCTCACGGCGTGACGTGGATGCATCGGAGAAAAAGACATGCAAGGCAATAAACGCCTGTTTCAAGGAACAAACCTGTGTCTGTTGTCGTGAAGAGAGCTACAATTACTATAATAAACAGTTATCCTGATAATTACTATAATACACAGTTATCCTGACAATTACTATAATACACAGTTATCCTGATAATTACTATAATAAACAGTTATGCTGACAATTACTATAATACACAGTTATCCTGACAATTACTATAATACACAGTTATCCTGACAATTACTATAATACACAGTTATCCTGATCATTACTATAACACACAGTTATCCTGATAATTATTATAATAAACAGTTATCCTGATAATTACTATAATAAACAGCTATCCTGATAATTACTATAACACACAGTTATCATGACAATTACTATAATACACAGTTATCCTGACAATTACTATAATACACAGTTATCCTGACAATTACTATAATACACAGTTATCCTGACAATTACTATAATACACAGTTATCTTGATAATTACTATAACACAGTTATCCTGATAATTACTATAACACAGTTATCCTGATAATTACTATAATACACAGTTATCCTGATAATTACTATAATTCACAGTTATCCTGATAATTACTATAACACAGTTATCCTGATAATTACTATAATAAACCATTATCCTGATAACTACATCAGATATTATAATAATTATCATCAGGATAACTGTGTGTTATAGTAATTATCAGGATAACTGTTTATTATAGTAATTATCAGGATAACACTTTATTATAATAATTATCAGGATAACTGTGTATTATAGTAATTGTCAGGATAACTATTTATTATAGTAATTGTAGCTCTCTTCACGACAACAGACACAGGTTGGTTCCTTGAAACAGGCGTTTATTGCCTTGCATGTCTTTTTCTCTGATGCATCCACGTCACGCCGTGAGAACTATATATTTGAATGAACACAGTAACGTTGATAAATTATACAGTACTGAAACAAAATAATACAAAATGGTGCTTGGCGCGAATATAAACAAAGTTCTACAGGTTGAACAAAATACCTCGTAGTAAACATTAGAAGTGCAACGTGCTCCAATCGACGGACACACACCACACACACCACACACAGTCACACCTCATTTCAGGGTCCATGGTCTCATCAAGATCCTTGTTTGGTGACCCATCCTTCTGTCTTTCTTTAGGGATGGCACCACCCTTAGCCCCCTGATGATAACTCATTATAACTCTCAGAGAGGAGGCCTCACAATCCTGAAGAAGACTGGTCTGGTCCCATATCAATCTGTAAATAAGAAGAGTAAATACCATTATATTAAAACGTTTAAACACAAAAGCAGAGTAGGCCTATTGTTGGCCTGCTGTGCTGGGGATTTAAATAAACATTATAATGACATCCTGTAAAGCATTTGGTACAGAATGCAACTGTGAAAAACAGTAAAGGCAGAATGTTTTTTTTATTTTTATTATTATTATTTAAAAAAATAAAAATATTTAACCCAGCAATGTAGCATAATTACATAGTGATTATGTAATTATGTTATTTAGTTGTCTTTTTCGTGTCAGTCCTCTTTTAGGAAATTGTATTATGCCTATGCAGGACACCAATCCACCCCAATCTGGTCATGGCTAGACGGTATACAGTTTATTTCAATTTGAAGTCAAAAGTTAATTTTTGCATTTTAGTTAAACCTAACCTTTTACTTAACTTGAACCTAATTTTCCCAACCTACTACGTTAATTATACTAACCTGCGGAGTATTTCTCCTAACCTGCGGAGTATTTCTCCTAACCTGCTAGGAAAAGTATCCTGGTCAATTCTGACATAAACTGTATCCCGGCTAGCCCCAACCTGCCCCATCCATAGAGAATGATAGAGGCCTCTAGTGGCCAAAAGGCTGTATTAGCATGAGCAG